AAGCAATTTGTATAGTATATACAAAATGTTTAATTTCGATGTATTATTGCAAATTACACATAATTTATCTGCTATATTAAAAAGGATAATTCGAAAATATACAATATTTATCTCAAATATTCTTCTATGCAACAAATAATTGTGAGTAATTTGCAATAACAGATTAAAATTGGACACTTTGTATAACTAAATTTAAAAGAGTTTCTACTAAAACTTACGCGAAAGAAACACTAAAAAATACAATTTTTATTGCAACAATATTTGAAATTTCAGTATTTATACCTATTAATTAGATTAAGAATAGCATAATCATATATGTACTTGACAAACAGATTGATATTTAACTTGACATTATGTTTATCTCACCTGAAATTCATCCCATGGTATAGATGAACACTCGTCATTACCGACATTCGATACTTGAACCTTGATGGAAGATGCGTATCCGTAAGACTGTTGAATAAATTCAACTTTGGACAATTTAAATGTTGCCATAGACACCTAAAAAGTAACCATACATGCAGGCTAACAATACTAAATCCTATAATACGTAAACTTAATCAGAAGTTACGAAAAAAAATAAAATAAAAATAAAACATTTCACATGAACTTACAATATCTTTACGTTTACACACGCTATCCAAGGATTTTTCGCTTTGGGTATCAGGAGTTTCTTCCACTACTTCGCTAGCTTCTTCTACTGTTGTTATTCGCATTGTATTATCAACAGAAAACATCGTATCTAATTTTTCTTGATCTTGCAGACTGACCAATACATAATTTTCGCTATCAGAACTAATATCGCTTCTTATAGACACTGTATCACTGCTACCATCCTCGGGAGAAGCTTTTAAAGCGGAATCAAATGATGTCATTAAATTACTCAGACCTTTTTTCATAGAGGAAAGACCAATATTGAAATTATTAGGAATGAATGGTGCATTCGAAGATGAATCTCCTTTACTATGTTTCACTGTGGATTCAGGTATAGTTCGCATAGTAGGTAATGCTTTTTCTTCTTCTATACCGATATATTGCTTTTCGTGTACAGCTAATGGATCATGCTTATTTGGACCGTTCTGCTTAAATGTAACAACGGGTTGATTTGGAATAACAGTATGCATGAAATCCATTGATAATATCGATGATGCTTCGCTTTGCGGCGTTGCCATAATCACATCTTCGTTATTTATATTAATCTTTTTACTGTTAAAATCAGGTCGGTCTATACTATTGTGCCACTGAGCAGTTGCATTTACAATTTCATCCGCTATGCTAGATGTATCCGGTACCACTGATTCCACATCTGCGCCTGAATTTTCTTTGCCAGGTGTGTGGGATGGCATAACAAAAGTTACTTCAACTTGTGGTATCAGAGCACCAATAATAAGTGAGCTGCCGGAATTCTCGTTTAATATTTTATTTGAATCAATGGTCAGATATGTTGCCATCTCCGATAGAACTTCTGATAATCTCAGTAAAAATAAATATTGATAATGATTTATCTGTACGCTAACTAAATTGCTTATGTATGCAAGGCCATGAATATCAGCGGTTGAAAATTTTTCCGAATTCGATGAGTTCATCGACATGTAACACCATAGTGTTAAGGGAAATGCGTCGAGAAATGGCACTGGACGATTTTGTCCAACTGCACGTGCACCAAAGAAATCGCCCCATACGGGTTCCAAATTACAGCACCATACATCCTTTGCTTCTGTCCACAAAAGTTCTCTATTTAATTGGCGAACCAATTCAGTTACAGAGTTACTAGTAAAATTTGCGGGTGGATGGCGCACGTTATCAGTGCCTGAAATAAATAATACATAGAATAAAAAGTATTCGAAATGAGATAAAAAATGTTTTCAAATTTCTACTGTTTGTAATAACTGCTGAAAATCTGCTTACCTGCACAATGCGCTAAAAATTTATCTGTTACAACCTGATAATCGTTTGTTTTGTTAGGGAATTCAGTGCTGAAGAACATCTGACCCATTTGGAAAGCATTTAAGCACTGAGCCAAATCTGCTCTCGAAGATCTTTCAGTTGATCGGACATTTGTAATCGATGCCCTTGAAGTCTGAATATGTAATGACTTCGGCCTATCCTTTTGGTTTGGATAATCTTGTTGACTTTCAAAGACTATCTGAAAGTGTGAATTTTATTGTACGCATAATGCTTTCATGTAACTATTTAGTTAAATGTCGTACACTTTTCCACTTACTCTTGGAAGTATAGCTTCAATTTTTACATCAAAGTACATTAAGTTAGTGGAAGTATGTGTTGTGTGTTTATCTTTACTCATTAAAGAGTGATGTAAGTTCAATGCAAAAGAATTAAACCATAAACAGGAACAAACATCAAAGTTTACTTGAATAGGATTCAGTTGTACATAAAACTTTGGTGGTGGCACTAAACAATAACAAAGTATTTTCAATTACGTTTTTCTTAAAAAATAATTTATAACTACTATAAGGTAACGATTACAAGATGGATGTTACATGGAACTAACAGCTTTTGATTACTTACATGGAAATGTTATGTCTCCAGGGTAATAATAGTATGTAAATTCAGCGTGAAGAATCGTTACGTCTTCTGGTAGATAAAACCTGTCCCTATCACCTAAGCAAAAGAAAAATACTTCACTTCGGTGACAGTCTATATGTTTCAATACAAATCATGCTTTCTGAATATGTTCTGTATAACAATGAAAATTAGTTTAAAATTAAATTTTACAATGAGA